TGACCAAACCTTCTGCGCCAAATACAAAGCCAAATTTAACAAGAATCTAGAAAACTGTGAGCCATCTGCAAGGAGTAACACGATTAGAACACAACACTTATAATGGATAGTACCCGAAAAATATTTATATTGAAAGTGCCACAGACTTTTCGTAAGTACTAAGTAAAAATAATAGGGATTTAGCTAAGGAAATCAGTTGCCAAATAACAATTTCAATACGATAGTTATACAAAATTACAAAGAAACTTTCAAAAGATCACAATTAAATTCGTTATATGAACATCTAACTAAATTTAAATACATGTAAAAGTTCGAATTACAGATGCAATAGATGGATGGCTTCATAAATATATGATTTAATCATTTAGTTTTTGTTTTCGAGCATTGCAATAATTTTGTCCAACTTTGCAGCCTGTTGCGCCTCGAATCCATCCAATCTTTTGGAAACTGTGCGCTCCAACTGGTCAAACTTGGCATCGATATGTTCCTTCAGACTGCTCGCACCCATATCTGTGCCAGCAGCCGCTGGCATCGAAGTCTCCGAGTGACTCACATAGTTCTTCATCATGTTCATAAACTTTTGCAGTTTTTGATCACTGTCCTCGGTTTGATTTGTTGGGCCGCAGCTGGTGCCGCCTTTTTGCAGCAGCTCCTGTATTTTTTGTATATCGAATGGCTTCTGCAGCTGTGTGGTAATGCCATTCGGATTTGGGGCTATGTGCAGCATAGCGCCATAAATGCAAATCTCTTTGGCCGAGGTAAGCAGCTTTAAATTGATATCAGCAATGCCAGAACGATCGATTTCCACATCGTAGCGATATGGGCGTATGGGTATATCGCCCTCATCTTCTTCGACGGCACTGCCATAGATCGTCTCCAGATACTCCTGGGTGGGGCCCACAAAGAGTTCCACTTTGGGTGCGCTGCACACAAGCGTTATGGCGGCAATTTTAAAATTGGGCGATATTTGAAATTGCAGCTCACAGGGTATTGTGGGACAGTCGGTATACGAGAACAAAACAGCACGCTCCTCACCGATAACGTCGTCCAAATCGGGCCTGTCAGGTCAATATGCACATAAATATATATGTTAACCTGTTTGGGTGTGTTTGCAATTGCAAATGGAAATCCTTTGTCTTACTTCTCAAAGACATCTTCGTCAGAGAGGCGTGTCGGCACCAGCTGGGACAGTTCTTTGCCAGCCGTCTGTGTCCAGCTACATCTAGCAATTACCTTTTCTGTCATAATGCTCAAGCTTATTAAAAATTAATAATAATAAAAAACTGTTGCTGCAGCTAAAAGCAACAATGCTTTGTTTATTGTCTTCTTCTTCCACACTAAATAGCTAAGGCTGCCCATTTGTTGCGTTAGCAGGGCCAAAAAAGCAGAGTTGCATTTCGCGTTACGATTTGGCGCCAAACGTAACAGCATTGCGCGTAACATAACAGACTTACGTAACAAAAACGCGAACTGCCCACACAGCGTTGCAATACGCGAATTGACAACTACGACCTTGATTGGCCCCCTTGTAGGTCATATTTAAGTGAATTTAAAGGAAAGCGACAGTGCTGTAAGCGCCATCGCCGCTATTATAACATAATTTTCCGCAAACTAGTCCAATTATCAAATATGGGTGGCAAATACAAGATTGTTATGGTGCGCCATGGCGAGTCCGAGTGGAATCAGAAAAATCAATTCTGCGGCTGGTTTGATGCCAATCTGAGCGAAAAGGGTAAATCCAAATGCACATAATCACATAAATCCAATCAATACTTTTGTGTGCGCAGGCAAGGAGGAGGCTCTAGCTGCTGGCAAGGCCGTTAAGAACGCTGGGCTAGAATTCGATGTGGCGCACACTTCGGTTCTGACGCGCGCTCAGGTCACACTGGCCAGCATACTGCAGGCGAGCGGCCACAAGGAGATTCCCATTTATAAGACCTGGCGCCTGAACGAGCGTCACTATGGCGGTCTGACTGGCCTGAATAAGGCCGAGACCGCTGCCAAGTACGGTGAGGCTCAGGTGCAAATCTGGCGACGCAGCTTCGACACACCACCGCCACCCATGGAGCCGGGACATCCCTACTATGACACCATTGTCAAGGATCCTCGCTATGCTGAAGGACCCAAGCCCGAGGAGTTCCCCATGTTCGAGTCGCTTAAGCTGACCATTGAACGCACACTGCCCTACTGGAACGATGTCATCATTCCACAGATGAAGGAGGGCAAACGCATCCTGATTGCGGCCCACGGCAACAGTCTGCGCGGCATTGTCAAGCATTTAGATAGTGAGCAGCAGCATGAAATATTATTCCACAAGGATTGAATCTACTTTAAAACCCTTACAGATCTGTCCGAGGATGCCATCATGGCGCTGAACTTGCCCACCGGCATACCATTTGTATACGAGCTGGATGAGAACTTCAAGCCCGTTGTATCCATGCAGTTCCTGGGTGACGAGGAGACCGTCAAGAAGGCCATCGAAGCCGTTGCTGCCCAAGGCAAGGCCAAGTAAATGAAGCTCTTAGCTTGAAACAATATAAAAGCACAATTGCTAGAGATTGTTAAGTCCAGATAGAAGCTGGAAATATCCTCCCGTTCATTGTTGTGGTTCTCGTAGCATTAATTGGTTCTCATACCCACTCCCCACTACAGTTAATAAATAATTTATTATAACACAAATACAATAAGCTCAGGTTTAGAGTGGAACTTTCATTTTATTGCCCCGTGGGCTGTATTGTATGCATTGCTTACTGATTTCATCACTTGCGCTTCTTCTTGCCATCTTTGGCCAATTCGAGGCCCAATATACACTTGGGCGGCACCTTGTAGGTTTCCGTGAGTAGCGTGTATATGAAACGAATTTGATTGCCCTGCACCTGGAGCTGCTCGTGCTTCTGATGCGGCAACTTGACAATACTTGTGCTGGCGGCGGCGCCCTGTTTGCACAGCTTAATCAGCTCTGCCATGATGATGCCATAGGCTTCGATGTTGCTGACCAGCGTCACCTTTTTGTTCCCGGAGCGTGTGGCCAGGGACATTTGTATTTGCGGCTTGCCGCTGGTATCCTTGCCGCTGCACATTTGGTAGGAATGCTCCATCTTACTGGTTATTATGGAGGTGATTTCGCTCAATGTACCCTGACGGTTGCCGCACAGCTCCAGCAGCACCGCATCCGGACGCACCAGCTTTGTCTGCGGATCAGCTAGGCCATGTTTGCTCACATACTCGCGCACAATCTTCTTGACCTGGCCAACGGGTATACCCTCGCCGCGTTTGTAGTTCATTTTAGTGAAGAATGCGGCGGTTACATCTGAAACAATGTACATCTCCTTTAGCTCCGAATGAAATAGGGGCGTCTCTGCCGCTGCACCGCTGCTGTCGCCAGTCTTGACATCCGTTATAAAATTGACCAGCTCTGGATGCTCCAAGTCCACGGAAATGATCTTGTCAACGCCTTTGGTCTCCTCACGTACAACTATAAAGCCCTGGTCGACCATCTCGGCAAGAAAGTTGGACAGCTTCTTGTAGCGCGTCTTTTTTAAATCAATTTGTTCAGCTGCTTCGGTCACCACGTAAAGCCGATAGAAATTGCTCGTGAGGAGCGGCAGCGGCAGCTTCTTGCCATTGTTTTTGAGCGCAGCTAGAAATGCATTTTTCAAAAGTGTTTCCGGCGTGGGTTCATCTGGGGACACCGCTGTAGTATCTGCAGCGGGCTCACTAATCTCTTCCAGCGACAATGCAGCAGCGCCCGAAGCCAGGTCGTCTGGGCCCGCAGCTTGTGGCAGCGGTTCACTCACAGCTGTCGGTTCGGATGGCGTAGATTTTGTGTTTTTTTGGCGGTGCTGATCTGATGATCCCAAGGCTGGAAAGTCCTCACCCGACAAAGGCTTCGTTTTGTTCAGCGGTATTTGCTGCAGCAGACTGGGCTCATGTGCCCACAGCTTATCCCCGAACATGTGCAGCATTTTAACAGCCACGCCATGACCGCCGCACATGTACAGCTCATCGCTGGAGCGTGCCAGCTGCCCCACGCCTATGGCCGAACTGTTGTTGGTCAAATTGACAGCCACTGCACGGATCGAGGGAATTTTTGTATTCGTATATAATATTAAATGGTGTCAAACACTTACTTAGCTGATCCTTTTTAAAGTGCCCGTACATGTTCAGACCGACGCCAAGCGGCACCACACCCGGCAGCATCAAATCCGCGCCATTGGATAGCTTGGGCAGCACACCCTCGTGTGTGGTTAAATATGGCAGTATGTCGGGCGTTGACCATAATGTGTAGAGCGTTGGCACCAGCTGGCCGCCATCCAGCTCAAAGAACATCGGCTGCTTGTCCACACAGTAGACCATGCTTTGCTGCCCGCCATGTGTCAGGATTTTCAGCTGCGTCACATTCGCCTTTGCCGGCATCAGATTCTCCGCCGGCACATGCGGAAATGCCAACTCGAGTCGGGCGCGCAGCTTCTTAGCTTCGGAGCCCTTGAGCGCTGCGCTACTCTTTAATCTGTAGGCTTTCAAAAACATGTGCGGGCTGCGTGTAAATTGCGTACGTAAACGAAATAATCAAAATAAATATAAGCTAACAAACGTTCACAATAGACGCACGCCGTTGCACAGTGACAAAACAGCTGATTGGTCGCGCTCATGCCCGTTTGCCAATTTCATTAAATTATACATATTTATAACGATTTTTTAAATAATTAAAAGTTTAAATCCTAAGCTTTTGAAATACGTTTCATATATGTTTTATATTATATATTAGTTAGATAAGAAATAATTCAAATTACATTATATATATTTATTATAAATCACAATAGACTTGTTGCCCAGTGAGAAATCAGCTGATGGTTTGTGGCGTTGCCAGCTGCTGCTTTAAAAAAGTAGCTGAATCCAATGTTAAAGTAACAAGAAAACTTAGCTAGAAAATGGCTCAATTGGCAGCACTGTTTGCATGCCTGTTTGCCAATTCTTCCCAAAATGTATACATAATAAATATATAAACTTGTTGCTTAGGCAGAAAGCATTATCAGAAGATTTTGATTGTTTTATGTAATTTAAGAGAGTAGCCCAATAAAAAAAATGTAAAACAGTTCACAATAGACATGTACCGTTGCTTATTAAAAAATTAACGGATGATTTGCATGACTGTTTTCCAGATCAATGAAAACTTAACATAAAGTGACAGCTGCTATTGACGAACATTTTTAACTGGCTCGATCCATTCCTTTACAAACGCTTTATTGACTTAACGTTATTTAAATTACAAAACCTATGCTTAGACGGAACGAAAGTAATTATATAAAAATTGGTTGCCTACTGAAATGGCAGATCTTAAAAAAATTTGTAATAATGAATGTTCGACATCTGTAGCCGCACATCAGGGTCCGCTACAGGCAGCTTTCACTATACATACATATGTACAGAAAATGTATATCACTGCATAAGCTGATAAAACATCTGTCTATTCCTGGCCCGCCTCGCATGCATACACATGCATATGTGCATTATATGTATGTATATACACAACTCTGAAATTCCCTCGCTGCAGTTTCCAGGTAAAACAGTCTCATAGATTCAAGATCAAAACGACGCCATTTTATTAAACATTTCATTTTATGTTAACATAACATAACATAACATACTTTGCCTGCGAGCAATATTTTAAGGCTAATTTAATGGGAATATATATATGTATGTTGTTTACTTCAACTTTGCCCGAGTTTGTACCATCGTTTCAATTATTGTCCCCCAAGAAACGCACCCCGTGTAAATGTAACACCTCTAATCCGAGTCAGAGTCCGAATCAGCTTCGCACGTACGCGAATTCTTTGCTGTGGGCGGATCGTAGATGTGCAGCTGCTTGCGCCAGATTTTTACTAGCCCATCAAAGGCTCGACGGCTGTACTTGCCATATTTGTTGGGGGTTCTGGGATGCTCGCGGGTACGTTCATTTCTGGGCACATTCTCAATATATCTTTCATAGGCAGCCGTGTTTTTGCCATAGTCTATCTGCTTCTGGCGGCGCGTTAGTATTTCTGGGTCTGCTTCGGTATACGAGGAGGATGATGAAGTGGACGAGGTATAACTATTGTGTCGCACACGCTTTTCCTCCTTGTGACCTTTGAAGAGATGCGCCTTTGGACGTGGATTGACATCAGTATGAGCGGATGATGTGCTGCTATTTGGACTGTTGGACCGACTATTTTCCGTGCTTTGTGTGGGCGGCGTTTGGGAATGACGCCGCTTGAAGGGCGTCTTTAGTTTCTCCTCCTTCACCAGACGCTCGAACTTTT